AATTGTTGGAATGATTTGACCTTGTATCAATGTTTATTATTTTGCATGGATAATTATCGCCAACACCAGCACCAACACCACCATTATCATCTTCTTCATAATATTGATACTCTGCATATTTATTTTTTTAAATTTTTGTACCACAAAAAATGTTTTCATTTATAATTGGCCAGACAATAATAATAATTAGTATTAGTTGACTAAATAGTTGACTAAAATAGTTGACTATTAGTTGTTTAAAAAAAAAAGTTAGTTGACTAAATTAGTTGACTATTTTAGTTGATTCCAACCTCTAATACTTTCATTAATTTCAACATTTTTTGTCACCTTTGATGCTTTATCACTTTTGTCACTTTTGGCAAAAATACTTATCATTTGCTGAAATACTTTCTACCCTCCAAAATACTTTTGGCACCCAACCTTGTAACAGATGCCATCTTGCCACTTTGATGGTGTCCCTCTACAAAGATATAGAGTCCATCCATGAGCTTCTGACCCAGATTCTTTACTGTCTTTTCAGGAGTAATGTAGAAGTTGGTATACTCACTCATTCACTTCAGTGCCTTCCGAGAATTTCTCTGGAGAAAAAAGTAATCAGCTTGGATGGTTCAAAATCCATTTGTTTCAAATTTGAATTTTTGCAAACAGGCATACTTACTAAACGAATTGTTGATGACATCAAACTTTCTTTTTTTAGAAGTTGAAGCTGAGACCTTTGGTATTATGTTTTCTTTTTCTTTCGTTTTTTCCTGTAATAGTAGTAAAAAAATGCAAGGGAGTAAGGTTTTTTACCATAAGGAAGGTACATAGCCGATTCCTTCTCCAAAATGATCCATGTATTCATCCTCCATTGTGCATAACAATGGTACTTACATCATCACAATTATTAGATTCTTTAGTGGTGGTAATTACACGGAAGAGGCACTAAATCAAACAAAATGAATTAAAAGCAATAGCAATTATAATAACTACATGATAAACTGAGCACAGATTTTCCATATATACTTAATAACTAGAGTGATGATGAGTGGTGATAACCACCATTACCATTCTTAAAACACTTATCCAGCAATATTTTCTTGAGTTTCTTCTGCTTTTCTCTTATTTTTGTTTCTTTTAGGTGGTGGCATTTTTATGGCATTTTTATAAATATGAAAAGAAAAGAGTTGTTGATTTGATCGACAAACTCATTTATTATTGGCACTTGGTGTTGTACAAAGATTTTTTTTGTTAATATTAATATTAACACTATTTTTTCGCAAACAAAATGCGAGTCTCCTAAAGAAGACATGTTAATGACAGAGGTACTTTTTCTTTGTATTGATATAATGTGGTGTTCTTTAGCTTATAAATTTATAAATATTTTAATTGGAATCAAAATATGGAACAGATCTTGCTGGGTAATTACAAGATCCCTTATCAACAACGAACGGTTTGGTATTTTTTCTTTGCATAATCAATATTAATATTAATTATTAATTACAAGACGTCAAGGCAGCACAATTGAAACAATTCGAGTATGTGACATTTGATTAAACAGGAGAGACCGTCCTATATAAGGAATTAATTTATGTCGCGCAAACTTTTTTAAACAATATCACATATCACATGAGAATCACGAAATATACGGATTTTAATCGAGTAAAATGACAATATTATCACTTGTGGGTTTAAGAGTTGTTGAACTTGCAGGTTTAGCTCCTGCACCTTTTGCTGGTAATGCAATTAATTGATTTTCCTCCTGGAAATTGGCTTCGGGAATTAATGAATTATGAATTATGAATTATGAATTATGAATTATTAGGAATGATGCTGGGTGATTTTGGAGCAAATGTCATTAGAGTAGATGAATATTACGAAAAACAAGAAGAGTATAACAATATAGATGTATTAGCAAGGTTTTGCAAAGTGACTAAATAATTACTATGATAATATCAATACTTAATAATCAATATCTAACATTTCTAATATATCCAATACTACTTCTAATAATAAAACAGAAACAAACGATCAATTTCAATTAATCTAAAGAATCCGATTGGTATTGAAATCTTTAAAAAACTAATTCGAAATTCTGATGTACTGATCGAACCATTCCGTCCAGGCATAATGGAAAAATTAGGATTAGGGCCTGATGAATTGTTTGAAATAAATGGGAAATTAATTTATGCCAGATTGACTGGATTTGGTCAAGAAGGTGAATTATTTTTTTAACAGGTGAAAAATATTTCTGAAATGAGTTATTTATTAATTGGGGGATATATTTTTTTTTAATTAGGAAAATATTCAAAAATGGCAGGTCATGATATAAACTATCTTGCTGTATCTGGTGTATTATCGGTAAATATTATGTATTTTAGGCGACATATAAAATGTGTGTGTGCTTATATATATTTTTGAAAAGCTCCTCGGACGTAAAGGTGAAAACCCAATGTTTCCATTAAATTTATTAGGTAAATTCAATCAACAAATTTATTATTATATAATTTATTAATAATGATATTAATACTATTTACTATTTATTTAATTAAAGCTGATTTTGCTGGTGGTGGATTAATTTGTGTCGTTGGAATTTTGTTAGCACTAATTGAAAGATCAATTACTGGAATTGGAAAAATAATTGTTGATTCTTCAATGGTATTTAACTGATTGTAATTAATTGTTTGAAAGTTTCGGAACCCCCGATAATTTTCCCTTAAGACTTTTGATACCCCTCACTCACATTTATTTATTAATAATAGGTTGATGGAGTAAAATATTTAGCGACATTTTCATATTTAATGAAAAAAGGTTCTAGTTCACTGTTTAATAATATGAGAGGTGAAAATTTGTTGGATGGTGGTGCTCATTTTTATGAAGTTTATCAAACTAAAGATAATAAATATATTGCCGTGTGCGTAAATGCTGGTTTATATATGTTGTTTGTTATTTATTTTATTTTAAATTATTCATCTAATTTTATTATTTTTAGTGGCGCACTTGAGCCTAAATTCTATAAATTATTAATTGAAAATTTAAATCTAGAAAACAAAGAATTATTACTATCTCAACAATATGATCAATCAAAATGGAAAGAAATGAAATTATTATTTCAAAAAGTTTTTAAATCTAAGACTCAAGACGAATGGACTGGAATATTTCATAACACTGATTCATGTGTCACACCTGTATTAGAACTCACTGATTCGCCCTTACCTTTAAAATCTACTCTAAATTTAATATCAACTGGTAATAACAGCAGTACCAGTAAAAGTATCAGCATCAGTAATGATAGCAGTATATTTTTGATGCCAGGTAAACATACTTTGGAAATTTTACATGAAATTGGTTATGACGATGATAAAATTATTAAAGAATTTCAAAATAAAAAAATTATCAATCGCGTAATTTTAGATAATAATAATTCAAATCATTATATAATTAAAAGTTATTTATAAAAATTTATTTATTGGTAGTTTATATTTTAGAATTTTTGAATTTTGGTATATTTTGGTTAAAAAATATATATATATTATTTATATTACCGCAATAAATTGGAATAAAATAAATGTTGCCCTATTTTAACCATTTGTCTTTGGAGCGATCAACATTTTACCAATTTTGTGTCGTAGGCAAATGTTTTGTTTCCTAAATATCTTTAGCGAGCGTGAATAGAAAGAAATCTCTGGAATTTTTTTGCTTTTAGGCCTACATGATTTATTTGATGATCTATTATTATGTAAACACCTTTTTCCACGTGATAAACGTGCAATAATTCCAAGCGAACAGGGAACTGTTTGGTTTGTTTTTAGTGTTTAGTTAATGTGATAAAAATCACTATTGATTGATTGATTGATTGATTGATTGATTGATTGATTGATTGATTGATTGATGGATGGATGGATTGATGGATGGATGGATGGATGATTGATATGTTCTTTAATTAGTTGTTGAAATGGTATGGAATAAATTAGTAAGAATAAATTTTGTTTATTTTACATTTTAAGAAAGGCATTGTTTTATTGACGATTCTGGTTAATTAGCATTAGTATTTAATTTGAAATAATCATTGTTTTTGTTTTTGTATGCTGACACTAGAGATGCTTGTTAGTATTTAGTTGGGAAATTTTTTGAATTGATTAGTTAGTTTTTTTTCATATTAATATGTTGTGCGTGAAAATCAAATTTGTGTCAATTTGAAATTTACCAATTAAATTTTGGGGTGGGTGTTTGAATACAAAATTCTGATCGGCTAATTTGGATTTCACGCGCATGAATTTCAAATTGACGCAGATTCCAAATTCACGCACAACAAATATAAAAACAAAAAAAAATTTATTAGTATATTAATATATTAGTATTAGTGAGTGACAACCCCCTGTGGATCCGCAATGTCCTGCGACTGCTATACTCATTACTTTTGTTTACCAAATCTTCCCATTGTATGTGGTGGGACAAAAATACTATAGAAACAGTCAAATACCTAAATATAATTTGACATGACCAACAAGCAAGTAATTTTAAATAAATAATGATCAATTCAGAAATCTATAATTTATTGGTTACATATTTCTACAAATTTTTGTTGCAGCATGCCCATATTACAAATAATATTAAATACATTTTTTTAAAATATATGAATTACTTCTTTCTCCCCACCAAAAAATAAATAAAAATAAATTATTGAAAAGTTCTCTTGTTTTTATAATTGACTTGTATCAAGTATAGAAATTATGTCCTTATCTGAGAACAGGTTTTTTTGTGTCAATTGTCTTTATAAATATCATTATAGTTTTCTTGAATATTTTGTAAGGCAGTTTCTGTTTGGAGATTTTCTTCATCGTTTTTAGTTGAACTGGGTGAATTTGAATATTCAAATTTGTTGTCATTGTACACAAAATGATCCTCTTCCATATTTTTATCATCATCATATTTTTTATTTTCATTTAACGATGATGACAATGTTGACAATGTTGATGATGTTGTTGTTGTTTTATATACAAAACGTCCATCATCATCGTCGTCGTCGTCGTCATCATCATCATCATTATTCAAATCAAGAGATTTATCACCAGCAGATATAACTGATTTGGAATTAGGGTAAACAAATGTCGAGTTTTCATCATCAGATTTATTGTCAGGATCATAAGTTTTCCAAGGCTTATTTGAAAAATTAGATTTATCTCCATCTGGTAATGGTCCCGGAGCAGGGCTAAATGATACAGGAACAAATTCTTGTGCATTTGGGTTAAGACTAGTTGCTGGTGAAATATTTGAATGTGATTTGTTATTTGATTGTGGAATTGGTATAGAAGCAGTTTTAGCAGTAGTGATAGTGGTGTTGGTGTTGCTGGTGTTGGTGGCGGTATGAGTAGTATCACTTGTTTTGAATATACTGTTAGAAAATGACTTTGTGCTGTCATCGAAATAATTATCTTCTATTGGTTCCATATGAACAATTGGGTTATCTGTTGATTTTGAAACAAAAAATGAAATTAAAGATTTGCTGTTATTTGAAGTTACTCCATCAATGACTAATTTAGGAGATGATTCATTTCTATCAAAAAAAGGATCTTTTGAAAGAAATGACTGTTGCTTATCCGGAAATTCTGTTAACTCATTATCATTAAACTCAACTGATTGAGAAATCTTTGTTTCATTTTCATTGCTTAATTTTACATTTATATTAGCAACTTCATTATTATCACCTTCGTCACCATCATCACCATCATCACTATCATTAGAATTATTAGCGTTAATAGTATTATCATTATTTACTTCCTTTTCCTCTTCCTCTTTCACCACCGTCACCGCTTCCTCTTCCTCTTCCTCTTCATAATCAAGATCATTAACAACATAAGGAATTTGTTCATTTTCTGATAATGGTTCAATAAAAATACTTTCATCAATTAATTGCTGTTTGTTAAGATAAACACGTGACACTAACCAATGGTGCACATCTAAATTACCAAACCCTAAACATGAAAGATCCAATGGCAATACAGTACTTGTCCCATCTATGGTAATTACACTTCGAATAGGTGGTGTATTAGTAACTTTACGATTATTAAAGTGTTCATCATCATTGTCTTGTGAAATGGTATTTGATTGGCATTGCTCAAGAAGAGAATATATTGACAATAATTTACGTGCACCTGGAGGTGAAAGCACAATTTCAGATGAATCATTGGATTTTCCTGTAGCATATGATTGCTTAATTTGTTTAATCTCTTCATAATGTGGTTGAATCCATGGAATAACAACCATTCCTTGGCCAATTTCTCTGAATAAATCCAATTTTTGAACGAGAATCTCTTTATATGATTTATATTCATTATCTTCTTTTTTAATGTAAATATATAAATCTTTCAATATTTGATTCATACGAGTAGGAAGGCCACTCCACAACCTACGTATTCTACGAACTTCCAATGATGACAAAGCTTTCATTATGGCAGCAAAGCTATTAAAATTACGATGTACATTCAATAAATAATATGCTATTCTTATAGCATGAGCAATAATACTTTCACGTTGATAGGAAAGACGTGAAGAATTTCCAAAGGTTTTAGAATTCTCGGCAAAAATAATAAATTGATGAGTGAAACTATTGGTTAGATAACGATGAAAATCAAGACAAGCTTGTACTTTTGAATTTTTTTTATCTTTTGTTTTCAAGTCATTTCTGAAGTCTATTTTTCCAAATAGATTACTTTCAATTATTGTTAACTGTTGAGCAACTGAGTCAGCATCCCAAGAAAGGAGAGCCAATTCAGCAATTGATTGAATTTGATTATTAACTTGATCGAGCTTAGACCTAATTTGCCTGACTTTTTCATTAAGCTTACGAAGTGAAGCAAGATGAGAATTCTCATTGTCATTAGAACACTGTTTAGTACCCGCTACTTGTGAAGTAACAGCAAGAAGCTCTTGAGCATAATGAATTGCCTTTTTTGTAAGTGGAGAAAATGGGACTAATGGCAAGTGCATTGGTGATGAAATTTTTTTATTGGCCTTTTTAACTAAATCAGAGATGCATGAGGGTTGTGGGGAAGAAAGGTTGCCAAGTATAACTTTATTTTGAAGGATATCTTCTAATCTTTGTACACACGTCTTGAGCCGATTAAACAAATAAACACTGTTGTGAGGTTTTGATTTGATACTATCTATCAATAAAAAAAAGGTTATTACAAAATCAGGAATCAGTTATGAAAGAAATTCATCTATTAAAAAAAAATAGCATTTAATACCTCTATTGATAAAAGTAACTTCATGATTAAGCTTGTGGAGTAATGCATTAGCTGTTTTCAAATAATTGGAATATGAGTCCTATATTCAACCAAAAAAAAAAAAAGACAATCTTATATTGATCACTATTTTTTTGTTTAGTTGTTTTTTTATCAAAAAATTTTTTAGAAATTAGAAAATCTCAGTAATCAACGTACATTAAGGTCACCATTACGATAATCGCCTGTTGCAGCTTCATACAGACTTTCCCAGCCGCTCATGATGAGTATATTTGAATGATCAATAAAGGGATAAATAAATTAAAATTAAAATTAAATATATAGTACAATTTTCTTTATTTCCTGTTTCTTTGATAAATAGAAGATATAAATTTGTCAGTCAATTGAAGTGCCTAAAATACTATATAAAGGGCATCAATATATATTTTTATTAATCAGGGAATATTATTATCAAGGAAATTATTATTATTATTTATTTAATGGTTTATTGTTTGCTAATTGATCGAAAAAGTAATGATTTCCTTCATTATTCCAACTTCTTAAAATATAATAATAACGATTTTATCTCGGTATAATGCATTTTTTGTCTTCATGACAAAAAAAGATATATATTGATTTTTCTTATTCTTGTAAATAATTATCAAATTAATATTGATTCCAACACGGAAGAAGATAGCAGAGAAAATCAAGCATAAGTTAAAAAGACTGGCAAGAGAAAAAACGGAAGGCTATCAGGTGTCATTGAAAGTAGAAAGGTTTTACGACCTTGGAAAGAAAATAAATACATTCATTAACAAAATTTGATTTTCAACCTCTCCCCAGCATCAACATCAACATGCCATATTGACTTCTCTCTTCCCTCCCCGGCACGATCACATCATGATCAATGAAGAGTATTTATCACAACACAACCAACTTCGTGAATTAATCCTGAAATAGAGATTGAATGTTGCACTGTTGTTTTCCTACGTTAATAACAAGGTTTATTATATAAATTCGTTATAATAATTACAAAACTTTCTATTTAATAAAAAAAATTAGGGGTAAGATTTTGTTCGGAATAACAAAAATCCGTTATAAAGAGTCTGTTTGATTGTAGGTGAAAATTCCCAATAATCATAAATTAGATAACCATCTGGTATAGTTAATTCAATTTGTTTAGATTCTATAATTGTTTATGATTTAAAATATCATTAATTAAGGTTAAATATAACAATAAATTATATAATTACCATTATTATTACTAATAATAGTGACTTTATTGGAGTTTGTAGGCTGAGGAAGATTTGTAAAATTCAATAACCTACTTGTGTAAACAGCATTTGGATGAACAGTTGCTGTAATTGTTAAAGGGCTAAAATGTTTTTGATAAATATTTTTCTCACTTTTTTTAATTCATCTCTGTCTTCATCATTATCACCTTCATCTTCACCTTCATAAATATTTATTGCATCTTTCCAAAAAGTAACAATTTTTAAAATTTCATTTGCTGTTGGTCTTTTTTCAGAATTAGCATCTGTGCATTTGTATGCCAACTCAATATAACATTTTGGAGTACTATCTGAAAAACTAGGCCTTAAGCCACTACAAATCCTACAAGCAAGATCTATATCATGTGGTTGATCTTTGAATGGTTGTTGACATGTTGACAATTCTAACATTAAAATCCCAAAGCTATAGATATCAAGTTTTTGTGTATAAGGTTTTTTATTTAATACCTCTGGTGCAACATATGGTAGTACTCCAATAATACTATTTTCACTTGATGTTTCTTGATCAGTTGGGCCTGATAACCCTAAATCTGCAATCATTGCCTGGGATAAATAATCAAAATATAAAATATTACCATTGTGAAGATCACCATGTGTAAGTTTTCCTTGATGAAATGTGTTTAAACTTGAGATAATGTTGTAAATTATTTTAATTTTATTATTCTATCTTACAGTCGGCGCTCGATATAGTGAAGTTTTGGCTAGTACAAATTTGGAAACTATATGTGTTAATATCCAATCAAATTCAATTTTTCAGAAGATAGTTTCCAAATTTGTACTAGCCAAAACTTCACTATATCGAGCGCCGACTGTATAGTTTGCTGTGACAAAAGTTAACGAATTTAACATACATATATATACACGAGAGTTTATTCCTATATTACCACTACCATTACCACTGTCATCTTATGCTACAGCTACAGCTACTGCTACTATTGCTTTTAATTTTCCATTATTATATTTGATGCCATTATGTTAGAGAAAGTTAAATCTTTCAAAGAAATTTGTATAATATTTAATATTAATATTTTTCAGTATATCCATGTCCATTCATCATATTATATTGTACTTGGATAATTGATTGCATATATAATTATTGATAAAACAAGTATTAATAGATGGATATGAATAAGAACGTTACATCTACCTGCAGTTTTTCTTACATTTGTAATATAAACAACAGCCCTTATTCACAATAGTAATAAATTACTTATTTGTAATTAAATTATATATAAAAATAGTTTAATAAATAGTCTAATAAACAAGTTTAATAATATCATAAAGAAGAGGTTCAAACTATTTCTATAAGAGCCACTTCTGTCACAATGCAATGTCATGTTCTTGACTTCACCATTTGCATCAGTTTGTGTTCTTTTTATGGTTGCAGCATATCCTTGAGTTAAAACATGAGCAAGAAGTTCATCATAACTTGAAAATTGGTCAATTGGAGGTGGAAGCATATTATTACATAAGAATTTTTTATTGAAACAAAACACAAATACAAAATACAAAATTTGATTCTCTGAGTTTTTAAATGAATTTTCTAAGCAATCAAGCCATTTGCTAAGCAATTTATTTGATCAAGACATTTACTAAGCAATCAAGCCATTTGCTAAGCAATCAAGCCATTTGCTAAGCAATTTATTTGATCAAGACATTTACTAAGCAATTTATTTGATCAAGCCATTTGCTAAATGATTAAGTTATTTGCTAAGTGATTTATTTGATCAAGCCATTTGCTAAATGATTTATTTGATCAAGCCATTTGCTAAGCAATTTATTTGGCTAAGCCATTCATTGGTCACATTACTACACTTAGTCATGTGGGGGTAAGGTTGCTTGCTGAAACCTCTTAATGACTGCTGAAACTCTGCCAATTGATTTCCAGAGGAGTTTTGGCAAGCAACCATATGTGGGGGTGCGAATAACAATTCCCTATATAGCCATAAAGAAATACCTCTATAATAAAACTCCACAGGTATTGGCATATTAGAGATGACACATGTTTAAACAACAATTTATACTTGATTTTACATCTAATGGTAGGATCTCTTTTGTTTGTATTGGAAAAAAGTCATTTTTTGATAAAGTGAAGTTACTATTTGAAATTCCTTTGCTTATAGTAAAAGTCCATAAATATTTTTTCATTAAAGATGACACAAGTAGAAACTATATTAATTTTTTTTACCTTACATATAACTACAAGGTTTATTTGAAAATTATTATGTAGATTATTTTTTGTGCAATTGTAAAACTCATTTTTATTATGCCAAAGTACTTTAAAATTATATA